CAGCTGTGCTCCAACTATTCTATAGAGGTTTTTATTAGTATGGTGTAATCGGATATTAGAGAATTAAAAGTAAAACAAATAAAGGTTAAAGAGTATAATTATGATGGAATTAAGAAATTAGAGGAAAGATAGAATATCGTTAGAAGACCTGAGGTTAAGGGGGGAGGAGTAGGGATAATGTAGAAGTAAGCATCACTATGAAGAAATTATAAATCTGTGGGAGTGGGGGGGCCCTACAAATATAAGAAAGAGCTGAATACAATAATGAAGGAAGGTAATGAGAAGGGTATTCTGAACGAATACCATTAGTGTGCAGAACCCTGATCATGTATTTTTTTTTTACCCATGATGCTTAAGGACAACTCCCCATGTGAGGAGCAAATGATATTTGTCCCAATTGATGTGGTATCCCTTTACACCAATATTGAGCATAATTTGGGAATGGAGGCCATAATATGGGCTTTTAGGAGATATAGCGAGCAGAAAACTTTTACAATAAAATGTTTGTTTTTTTGTTTGCCTTGTAAAACCTTCTTTTTTTTTTTTTTTCTTTTTGGTATAACAGACCTTTATTTACAGTTAAAAGGAGTGGCTATAGGGATGATGTTTGTACCTAGTTTGGCCATTCTATTTATGGTGAGATGAGAGGAGGAAGAAATATTTGCCAGAAAGTGGGAGGGGTAATTTGCTGGAGAATAATTTGTAGACTTCTTGTTAATTTGTAGAGGAGACGAGGAATCTTTTGATTATGTTCATGGATAGTATTGACGCTAACAAATGTGATATTAGATTTACAAAAAATGTTGAACAAGATGGAATACAATTTCTAAACCTGTATAATGCTTTTTATTTTCATTTTTTTAAATTGAATACAAGAACAGAAACAAAAATGCAATATAAATGGACATACCATAGAGCACAACCAAACAGCAAAATAATACTATGGGGAATATCAGAATGCCAGTCATTCACAAATCAGCAGGTAATACTACTAAGAAGGGAGAAAAAAATAGGAACCTTGGAATTTTGGGAATGTATATTGGATAGTTGTTCTGAAAGTAAAACTCAAAAAAAAAAGGGGGGTGGGAGGATGTAGTAGAAGGAAAATCCAAACGGGAGCAGATGTTCAATAACAAGGCTCATATAATAGAAAAAAATGTCAGTGCTCTCAAAGAATACAAATAGATGTTGTGGGAGTATTTTTGTATGGGAGGGTGAACTAAGAAGAGTGCAGCTCTAAAAAAAACACGCGGAGCATACCTGTATAACAACTGCAATCAAATAATACAAAAAGAGTTGCCGTACCACGATCCACTGTAAAGGCAGTCCGACAACCAGTCCCCACGAGCACCATGTAGGTTTTTTTCCTTTACATTTTCATTCTTCCAAAGATAGCCAGTCTGTTGAATACACATTATTCCACAATTTATCCTTAATAGTGACTGTGCTCTTTTTGTATTGTTTGATTGCAATACCAAGGCTCAGCACACTTGATCAGTAGAAAAAAAAAGGGGAAGTTAAAAACCCAAACAATCCACTGAGGGAGGTCAAAACCTAGAAGGGAATGGGGAGGGAGAAGGAGAAGGGCAGACCAGTAAATGGAGAAGACAGAGCACAGAAATCATATTCACTCAGCTCGACAGGAGTTGTTTACCCTTGTCCAAAAACAGATTGATTCCAAAATGTCTGGTTGTGATTATCAGAGACATCTTTTGCAGAGAGAATAAACTCTTCCAGGCTTCAGATTTCTTCTACTGATCCATCCTGTCAACGAGGGGGGAAAACGCCTCCAATGGCCTGCGATGCAGCTTTTAGCAGCATTTGGTAGGTGTCTGATAGCTGATTTTTTTTTTTTTGTATATCTTTACCGGGAAATCATTAGCATGTAGGAAAAAGAATGTAGGGCCCATAGGAATGGGGCAATCTGTGAGACTTTATTAGACTTTCCGAATAGTTGTTTTTTTTACTTAACATTTTTTTTATTATACCATTTTTTAAATATACAAACATACAGTATATGTAACATGTATCCCCAATCAAAACAGGGCAACAAAAACACAACAAACAAAAAGAACAACTATATAATTATTAAAACATATATCAATATCCACAAACCAAATGAGATACAGTTGATTATGCTCCTTTCTTATACATAGTCACTTTACAATAAAGTTCCCACAATATATACTGTAGATACATTGGCACTATATCCATTGCATCTGTCCAACATTTTACAGTATTTATCTAAAATGCCCTGATGTTTTTACATTGTTTTTTAAAAGGCAACCACTATTCCAAGTTCTTTTCGCCACTCCCCTTTGGTAGATGTCACTGCCGAAACACATTTATATGCTATAATTTGAACAACAAATAAAGCTCTCATTATAGACAACTTCTTATTATGTTCTATGTTTGATGATAGATATACACACAGTATACACGTCATGGGGTTATTAGAAATCTGAACCCCATATATTACATTTCATCCAATATTTCTTGGCAGTAACGCTTTAATTTCTGACATCTCCAGCCAGCCTTGTGCAGGTCTACAATCTTGTCCCTAACGTCCTTTGACAGCTCTTTGGATTTGCCCATGGTGGTGAGGTCTGAATGGAAGAAAGAGATTCTGTGGACAGGTGTCTTTTATATACATAATGGGTTGTCGTTAGGAGCACTTTTTTAAATTGACAGGACTTATCTGTGTACCACATAGCCAGTCTTTGGGAGCCAGAATTATTGTTGGTTGGCAGGGGATCAAATAATAATTTTCCTTGCTGTATATGTGCTAATTCCAAAATCCCTGCTCTTTTCCATAAACCAAAACCCTGTAGTTTAACCACTTTGGATACTTTTCTGTTTTCCCATAGTGGAGTATGTATTGTAAACTTTAGGGATATTCAGCAAACTTTTTCACTTAGTGTCGCAATTGTGAGGCTAAGAAAAATATTTCTTCCCCCTAGGATACTGTAAAATCTCGAACTTTATACGCGATTGCTTCTTCCTCCAAATCAGCTCTAAAAGCTGCATGTATCCTTCTAAATATATTTTGTGTTATCCAAGATGGAGAATTATGCAGTATATAAAAGAGCTGAGGTATCCAGATGATTTTAATAAGATTAAGCCTACCCATCGGTGGCAAGGGGAGCCTCCCCCTTGTATTGCATTGTTTCCAAAAATTTTGTAGGAAAGGCGTTACATTTTCTTTCAAATAACTTTTACTTATTACTCTGATCCGAACTCCCACATGCATAAATTAATCCACAATTTGTACATGTTTCAGTTGTATAGGTGTTGGGCCGAGCATTGAGTCTATCGGAAGAAGCATTTACTTATTCCAGTTTATCTCCAGCCCGGATACTTCCCAAATTCTGAGAGTATGGACATAACCTCCTATTTTTTTTTCCTCCAAATTCTGTGTTTTTTTTAAAGAAAGATTTTACAGAAATAAAAATAAACATACAAAGCAAGTAACTAGGTCATATAGTAAGCAAAGTCATATATAACATCATAACATGAGATGTTGCCATAGCCCGGTATAGCCATACGAATACCAAATACATCACTCCCCCATGTACATGGGGGAATGAGACATTGAAAGCTAAACTGGGACCGAAACCCTGAGGTATGTCATGCGATGCAGAGGTATTGGCGCCACAGTTCAGGCCATCAAGGCAAATATTCCCGTGAACGACCGACATCTCAATATGGCAGGTATGATACAAGGAGTGTGGGGGCAAGACACCATAAAAAAGGAAGGGGAAGAGAAGAGGGGTGGGGATGGAAGCAAGAAAAGGAAAGGGCAGATGGAAATAAATTTTCTCACTCAGGCTGTAATTCTCAGCTGCTCATTAATTGCCGGTATTCAGCAGAATCGAGGAATTCAGACAAGTAGAACCATGTGGAAGAGAATCTGGACATCATTCCCTTTGAGCTAGTGCGATCCTCCATATGTTTAATGTCATTTACCCGTTGGAGCCACTGTCGGATGGTAGGAGACGAGAACTGCTTCCACAAAAAAGGGACACAAGCTCTCGCCGTATTCACTAAGTGAATCAGGACAGACTGTCTATAGAGAAAAAGGCTGGGTCTAATGATATTGGTCTGTCGGTAAACGTTTGCATTATGTCTCTAATCTGGGTCCAAAAGTTCAATAGCAATGGGCAGGACCAAAAAACATGATATAGATCAGCCAGAGAGGAACCGCAGTGCCTGCAACTGTCCGTTACATCTGGGAAGATCCCATGGAGCCTATGAGGGGTTTGGTACCACCTGGTCAATATTTTATAGCCAGTTTCCTGGTATCTATTGCAGACAGACGACCCCAGGGAGAGTTGCAGGATCCTAGATCTCTCGGCGAAAGTGAACTGAACCCCCCCCCCCCCCCCCCCGGGCCTCCCCCCCCCCCCTCACAA